GCCTTGGAGTTCCCCCGGAGGAGCTGGAAGAAGTGGCTGGGGAGAGGGAGGTCTGGGCCTCCCTTCTGAAGCTGCTGAAGCTGCTGACCCCACGACCCGACCCCGGATAGGCGGAAGAAAATGGATGGATGGGTGGAGAGCTGTTATTATCTTAAGGGAATTGAAATGTTTGTGAAACCCTGGTTTCGTACAAGCCTGAAGGAGCGATCCACGTTAATCCACAGAATAAGATTGTGGAAAATGAGGTTAAAAATGCCAGATCTTTGTTTATATTAAAGAGAATGATAAAATATAGTATTCTAAAATATAGGAGAATCTAGTATTCTGAAAATATGGAAAAGCATAAGCAAATTCATGCAAATTGTTTTGACTTGGTGTTTTAAATTTAGCTTCATTTTTAGTTTTTTATGTGTTTTCAGTTGTTTTGATTTTTGTTGTAATTGACTTTTTTTAAACATATTTTGGGTATAAAAAGGGGCAGATATTATAAGATTTATTCTTCTGCCTTTCATTTTATTTGATTTTATTTTGATTGCATGTTTTCTGTTCTTTGTTGTGTAAATAATTGTTACAAATAAAATGAATAAATTTCGAAAGACTGTAAGTCCCAAATCTGTTAAGTTTTTTAATACTCTGTCTTTCACCTAAATATCTAGGACATCTCATCAAGACATGTAACACATTTTCTGGTTCCCTACATACACATAAACCATCAGGATGTTCAAGCCTACTTATTACTTTTAAACAGTCTGCCAGTCCACAGTGCCCCAGTCTGAGTCGTTAATTTAAGTTGATCCTGTCGATAAGTTGACAATAAAACTCTGCTGTTTTTAATCAGAGGCTTACAACTAAAACTAGATACTGCGTAGCGGTAACATAATGAACCCCGCACGCACAAACGCACCAGAACTCAGAAGTCTTTATTCCTAATAAATGTCACTCTATAGGTGCATCCCAGGTATCTGTTTGAATAATAAATATATTGTCTTTGTAGTGTATTCAACTGAACAAAGGTGAAAACAATATGCAAGTCATCATATTCTGTTTTTATTTATGCTTTACCCAACATCCCAACTTCATTGGAATTGGGGTTGTAAAATAAACATTTGTTAGGAAGAAGTTATTTAATTAATCTTCACCACCCTGACAGTAAATAAAAAAAACAACATATTTTATTTAACCAGGCACAACACTACACTGCAAAAACTGTCCATCTTACCAAGTTTTAAATCTTATATTCAGCCAAAAAGTCTTTTTGATCTTGTTTTGAGACTGATTTACTAAACAAGAACTGATTATGTAAGAATAATAATCTTGTTTTCAGAATCTGTAAGATTATTTCTGCCAATGGAGTAAGAAAATTTTACTTGGTAAGATTCTTGAAATACTTGATTTGACTCATTTTTTTCTTGTTTCAAGAATCTTACCAAGTAAAATTTTCTTACTCCATTGGCAGAAATTTTTGACTTAATTTGAGCCAAATTTTCAGACTAACAAGACAAATAATCTTACATATTCTGCAAACTAGGTTATTATTCTTACACAATCAGTTCTCGTTTAGTTAATCAGTCTCAAAACAAGATCAAAAAGAGTTTTTGGCTGATATAAGATTTTAAAACTAGGTAAGATGGACAGTTTTTGCAGTGTATCGAGATCACAGATCTGTTTTTCAAGGGAGGCCTGAAGGCAACCTGTTGTACCCGTTKTTGGTCTGTGRGAGGAAACTGGAGTACCCWRAGAAAACCCATGCAAGCATGAGGAGAGCGTTCAAACTTAACACAGAAATACCCAGGTCTAAACCGGGTATCCAACCCAGGACCTTCTTGCTGTGAGGCATMTGTGCTAACCACTGATCCATCGGCTCATATTTACAATGATGAAACTACAAGTAAGAAATTGTATAAATGAGAGATGTCACATCAAATTAAGCATTAATTCTGTTAGATGCATGTATAAAGTTTCATCCTGGATAATTTTGTTATTTTTACTTTTAAAAAACCCATCAAATGYCTGGTGAGTAAATAAGATTAGGAATTTTCAACATCTTTCATTTCAATAAAAATAATCCTAAAGATGTTTTGAAGCTTTTTTCTGAGCAGTTCCAACAAATAACAATGGGCCTCATGCAAGAACATTTTCGTTTTCTTCTCCTAAAACGAACGAACAAAAGTAAGAGTACTTTTGTTCGTACGAACATGTCACGTCAGATTCAACAAACTCTTCTATCTTCATGAAAAGTGTGTAAATGAGCTGCGTAAACTGATGAATGCGTATCAGGTGCTCACGCATGAGGAGAGGAAATTAGCATAATTACTACCCCAAATACACCATATAAGGCTACACTTCCTGCCCCACATACCAGGAAGTGTTCATTCGTAAATGACATTGCAAAGTAAAAAAAAAGAACTTTACGAGTTCTGAGATGAAAGTCCTGCACTCAAGAGATCCAGAAAAGAAAATCTGTCCTTTTTAACAGCATCAGCTGTGGAATTAAAGGACCTGCTAAAGCTGAGGAATGAAATGACGACTGCTGTTAATGTTATGTCTCCCGTGGGTCGTATACAGTCACAGAAATAAAAATCTAAATCATAATCATCTCTCTCTAGTCCCGTTCCGGGTTTCCTTTGGTCAAATATTTTTAATTTAAGTGTAAACAACTGTGTGTGTGTACTAATGGTGGTCAGAGGGGCCGGTGGCGCAGTATGGCAGCTCCGCTTCTGTCAGTGTACCCCAGGGCAGCTATGGCCACAGTGTAGTTTAGTATCATCAGTGTGTGAATGACTGATGTATGATTATTATTAAACATCATATAAAGCTGTGGAGTTACAATAATGTAGCTGTTTAACCATCACTKTTGGCTTCATATCCCCCACACTGTAATGTGCCAGATAATTAATTAGAAATGTCAGTGGTCATAATGTTATGGCTGGTTAAATCAGAGGTAGTGCAGTGTCACAGGAATGTAGCATGGCATTTAGAAGCCACCCCGATCAGTCCGTCTTTTCTCGTGGTTCTTTTCGTTTCCAGGTGATCACAGCTTCCTGGGAAATACAAAGTAAAACCACGCCGACGCTCACTGTAGCCAAACTGCACAGCATGGCGAGGCCGTCGGTCCCACTGAGGGAAGTCCACTCCTTGAAGAGAAGTCCGGAGGCAAGAATAACAGTGGACGTGAACGTCACGTAGTAAATGGCCTCAAATATGTTGGAGCTGAAACACTCAAGGGCCTTATTGATGAAGAAGAACTGGATCAGGATGCTGACCGCCAGCGTCGCCAGCAGGCCCAGGAACAGGGCCAGGACCCTGGAGCTCACCGGGTCTTCCCCGAACAGATCCGGAGCCACCAGACCGAGCCCTTTGCTGCATGGGACGGTGAAGCTTCCCAAGAGGGAACATATGCCAACATACACCATGATGTTGGATTTTCCACGAGCTGGGGCGATCCACAGGATCAGAGTGATCAGCATGGAGACCACCAACAACACGTAAGTGACAAACACTGCAGGATGAGATTATAAACTGGTATTATTTCTCTGAACATTATGAGGATCTACTGACAACTGAAGAGGTGTCCCTCATCACCTGGATCTGACAGCCTGGTCTCTAGCTCCAGTCTGGATGTTGCTGCTGCTGCAGGAGCGTGGAGGATTAGCACCACAGAGCCACTGCAACACAACACACAGCCCAGCTTCCCCAGGAGGTTTAAATGCTCCTCCAGGATCCAGGAAGCCAGCACAGCCCTGTTACAAACAAACAAACAAGTTATCGACATAAACAGTCTCCTTAAAGTATCTAATCTACTTTATCTCGTCTCATCACTCCATGAGCATAATACCTCACCATTAAACTGTTATTTGGATGTAAAAATCATAAATCAAACTTCCAAATAGACTAATTGCATTTTCATGAAAATGATGAGTTCTGAATAATTTTGCTAATGAACTTGCTGAATAAGCTAAAACTCAATTGTTAACGCCAAAGGATGCAGAACACCAGCTAAAAAGAGTAAAACACTAAATATGAGCTAAAAACAACCCCAAAAATGCTAAGTACAGGATGAAAGTAGCCGAACGCTARCTAAAAGGAGCAAAACACTAGCTAAGAGCTAAAAAAGCAAAATGCTACATAAAAGTAGCAAAACACTAGCTTTTTTTTGTTTGTTGTTGTTGCTTCAAGTTAAAAGTAGAAGCAGATTAGCCAGAAAGTAAATCAAACATTTATGCTAAGAGCAGCTGCACTGCAAAAACTGTCCATCTTACCAAGTTTTAAAATCTTATATCAGCCAAAAAGTCTTTTTGATCTTGTTTTGAGACAGATTTACTAAACAAGAACTGATTGTGTAAGAATAATAATCTTGTTTTCAGAATGTGTAAGATTATTTGTCTGGTTAGTTTGAAAATTTAAGTCAAAAGTTTCTGCCAATGGAGTA